TCCTGAATCCTCAGCCTCCCTCTTTCTTAGTTTCTTTTTACCTTTGGATAAAGACATTCTTCTCTAACCTTTAGAGAAAAGGTGGCAAACAAGTTAAATATTTTTGAGGATATGTGTATGTAAATATATCTTTACTTTTTCTCACTCTTTTTGATAGTTTGGGTATTGAAATCTAGGTTGGGTGTTATTTTCGGCCAGAATTTTGAAGGCATTGCTTTAGTGTCTTTTAGCTTCTATTTCTGCACTGGAGAAGTCCAATGTCATTTTGATTCCTGATACTTTTGATGTAACCTGATACTTTGTATGTAATGACACCTTTTTTGTTTTCTTTTTTTTTTTTAAGATTTTATTTTTCCTTTTTCTCCCCAAAGTCCCCTGGTACATAGTTGTATGTTTTAGTTGTGGGTCCTTCCAGTTGTGGCATGTGGGACGTCGCCTCAGCGTGGCCTGATGAGCAGTGCTATGTCCATGCCAGGATCCAAGCTGGTGAAACCCTGGGCCACTGAAGCAGAGCAGTTGAACTCAACCACTCTGCCATGGGGCTGGTCCCAGTCTAGCGCTTTTTAAATTCATCATATTGAGCCCTGGGGTGGGACCTTTCAACATGAAGCACCCTTCTTTCAGTTCTGAAGCTTTTTTGTTTTCTTTTTGTTAATTTCTTCCTGGTGTTTTCTTATTTTTTCTTTCCAGAACACCCATTTGTCAGATATTGGATTTCCTTGATTGATGCTTTAATTTTCTCATTGTTTCTCTTTTATTTTTTTTAGTTTTTTTTTTTGCTGAGGAAGATTTGCCCTGAGGAACACCCATGCTGATCTTCCTCTATTTTTTAGTATGTGGGTTGCTGGCACAGCTTGGCTGCTAACAGAGCAATGTAGGTCTGCGCCGCACCCAGGAACCAAACCTGGGTCACTGAAGTGGAGCACACTGAACTTAACCACTAGGCCACCAGAGCTGGCCCCTGTTTCTCTTTCTTTTCTTTCTTTTTTTCTTTGGTGAGGAAGATTGGTCCTGAGCTAACATTTGTGCCAGTCTTCCTCTATTTTATACATGGGATGCTGCCGCAGCATGGCTTGATAAGGGCTGTGTAGGTCCATGCCCAGGATCGGAACCCATGAACCCTGGGCTGCCAAAAGGGAGTGTGTGAACTTAACCATTATGCCACTGGACTGGTCCCCGGTTTCTCTTTTATTACCCATCTTTTTGATCAACTTTATGGAAGATTTCCTTAACTTTATTTTCCAAACTTAAAAGTGAAATTTTCCTGTTATCATATTTTTAATTTCTAAGAACTTTATTTAATACGTTTTTCTTTTTCCTTAGAACGTACTGTTCTATTTATGAACAAGAATATCTTCTTACCTGAGAATATTATTTATATTTCCTTTGAAAAATTTTTTTTTCTGTTTGCCTTGTCTCTTGGGTTTCTTTTTCATTTGTTTTTATAGCTTTTATGTCAAAGATATTCACTGTGATCCTTTACTGTCCTCATGTTTAAGAATGAGGTATTAATCAGTTCATTGGAAGATTTCTGAGGGTATGAAAGCTCTCTGATTTGTTTAATTATAGGCAAGCTTTTAAGAATTATTTTAATTTAAATTTTTTAAATTGTGGCAAAATACACACAATATAAGATTTACCATCTTAACCATTTTTAAGTGTACAGCTTGGTAGTGTTAAGCACATTCACATTGTTGTGCAACCAATCTCCAGAACTCTGTTCCTCCTGCAAAACTGAACTCACTTTCCATTAAACAACAGGTCTCCATTTCCCCTTCCCCCAGCACCTGGCAACCACTCCACTTTCTCTCGTTACGAATTTCACTACTTCAGGTATCTCTTGTAAGTAGAGTCACACAGTTTGTGTCTTTTTGTGATGTGGTTAATTTCCTTAGCATGATGTCCTCAAGATTCATCCATATTGCAGCATACGTCAGAATTTACCTCCTTTTTAAGGCTAAATCATATTCCATTGTATGTTTTTACCACATCTTGTTTATCCATTCCTCTGTCAATGGACACTGGGGTTGCTTTCTCCTTTTGGCTATTGTGACTAATGGTGCTATGAACATGGGTATGCAAATATCTCTTCAAGACTCTTCTTTCAATTCTTTTGGTATGTACCCAGAAGTGGAATTGCTGGGTCATATGATAATTCTGTTTGTAACTTTTCGAAGAACCACCATACTGTTTTCCATAGTGTTTCACCATTTTACATTCCTACCAACAGTGCACAAGGGTTCTGATCTTTCTACATCCTTGCTAACACTTGGTATTTTCTTTTTTTTAAATAGTAGCCATCCTAATGGATGTGGGAAAGCTGTTTTATGTATATAGCTTTGGACTCTGTTTTTCTAAAGAAAATGATCTTCAACATTTTTCCATGTCAATAGACATTTTTCTGATCATGACTTCTAATGGTTGTATTATTTAACAGATTCCGTAATGTAGTATTTTAACTTGTTTCAGTAATTTTTCAGGTATAAATAATGTTGAGCAGAATATTCTTATAAGAAATCTTTGTGTCCGTCTTTGATATTTTCCTTAGTTGATAAGGTCCTGGAGGTTGCATCCCTGAATCAGAGGGTATATATTCTTAATGTAAATTGCCAGATTGCTTTCCTGAAAGGTTGCATCAGTTTCTATTCCTACTAGCTGTGTGAGAGTATCATCTACACTGAATATTATCAGACAAAATTATTTCAGTGTCTAATCATAAATACAAGAATATACATAGAGCAAGAATATACATCAACTGACAACCATGGCTAACTCTGAAAATAGGACTGGTTTTGCTGTGAGTGCTCAAAAAGTTGGTTTATTTTTATCATTTGTATTTTTCACTAAAAATGTGCCTCTGTAATACATGTATAAAAATAAGTGTTTTAATTTCCTAATTTAAAATGCAAGTGGGTGAAATGATACTTATTTTAATAAATATGCTTTTAGCTTTTATTAAAGTTAAACCTTTTTTTGTATTTATTATATTTTTTCTTTTGTGAAATATCTACTCATTTCATTTGTCTATTTTTTGTGATTTGTTAGAACTTTTTATATATGAACTCTCTTTACCATACATGTTAATGTTTCCCCCTTTTCCTTGTGTACTTTTAAAGTTTTATTTTCTATTTCACTAAGTTTAAAAAGTTTTATGTAGGTAGTTACATTTATCCATCTTTTACTTAATGATTTATTTCTCAATTTTTACATAATCCCTGACTTACGATGGTTGGACTCAGGATTTTTCGACTTTATGGTGGTTTGAAAGTGATATGCATTCAGTAGACACTGGGCTTTGAATTTTGAGTTTTGATCTTTCCCAGGGCTAGCAACATGCTGGAGGATACTCTCTCTCCGGATGCTGGCAGTGGCAGCAGAGCCACGGCTCCCAGTCAGCCACGTGATCAAGAAGATGAACCACGGATTTGCCTACAACCATTCTGTACCCTGACAACCATTCTGTTTTTCGCTTTCAGTACAGTATGCAATAAATCACATAAGATAGTCAACACTTTATTATAAAATGGACTTTGTGTTAGACAATTTTGCCCGACTGTAGGCTAATGTATGTGTTCTAAGCATGCTTAAGGTGGGCTAGGCTAAGCCGTGATGTTCAGTAGGTTAGGTGTATTAAATGCTTTTTCTACCTATATTTTCAGCTTACCAGGGGTTTATCTTGATGTAACCCACCCTAAGTGGAGGAAGATCTGTACTTAGAAAGCCCTTCTCCATCCTGAGGTCAGATATTCATCTGTATAGTTTTTGCTCTTGTTTTATGTGTAGCTAGCTGTGTGTGTTTAACATTTCACCCTTGAATTCCATTTTAATTTATTTAGTGGGCTTTTTCCCCTCTGAGGGAGATTGCCCTGAGCTAACATCTGTTGTCCATCTTCTTTTTTCTGTATGTGAGCCGCTGCCACAGCATGGCCACCAACAGTGTAGTGCCGGGACTGGGAACCAGGCTGCTGAAACGGAGCCCACTGAACCACTGGGCCACCAAGGCTGGCTCTATTTTAGCGTACATTTTGATAAGGAATCTAATCCAAATACTTAACTAATTTTCCTAGCACCATTTTACAAGTAAGCATTCTTTTCTTGGTTGATTTGAAATGCCACGTTTATCAAATAATTTGTGCATTGGGTCTGATTCTAGGCTTTTTACTCAGCTTCCGATGGTGTTACCAGGAAAGTGAGAAGTCATCCCGGAAATGACTTGCCCTGCAGTATTACTGCTCAGATAATGAACCGTCTGGTTAAAATGGATTTATTGAGACAACCAATTTGAAAACGTAAGAAAATGACTGTTGGAGTCCTTAGTACTTAATTTGGGTTTGTGATGACTAAATTAATCCTGTTTTTTGAGCATTGGTAATAGGACATGCAGTCATCACCCAGTAACAAGGCACGGTTCCAAGGGACATTCTGAACTCCCTTCCAAGGCGGCACACTTCCCTCCGGTCGGTCGTAGCTAATGTAAGAAGCCATCCGACGCCGGGCAGGGGACGCGGCACCGGCGGGAGAGGAAGGCTAACGAACGAGTTTGTCCACACTGCCTTGGTTTGCTGTGCCCGTCTGGGGTGGGAACTATGAAGGGCTCTGACAACCACTCTTAATAAGACTTAGCTTGGTTTTCCTTTCCTGCAACTTCCCTGGTTGTGCACCGATAGCACCGGGAAGTTCCTCCCCAACCCTATCACCGCATTCTAATTGGGGATTGGGTTATGGGGTCGTGTGCGAAGGCGCGAGGCGAGTGGGCCCTACGGGGCCTTACATTAAGCCACATGTCCCGGGCGGGCTGGCCGGACCCACCCTGGGGGCACCAGAGAGCCGAGCGGCCGCAGAACAAGAGCACGCGCTCAGCGAGTTAGAGGAACACAGGGCGACGCAGACATCGCGGCGCGACTCCGAGAGGTCAGCACCGCCCTTCCAGCTTGCTTTACGGCTTTCCAAAGATTGCTTTGCGGCTTTTCTCCCCTTCCGACTTGATTTACGGCTCCTCCTCCTGTCTTTCCTGCCACACCCTGGTCGCTCTCGATTCGGACCTTCTTCCCAGGGTCTCCTTGCACTTCCTTCCCAGTCTCCTCTGCGGGGCCCTGCCAAACCGCCGTCCGCTCGCGCTTGGTCTCGCCGAGCTCCGTGCGCGCCCGCGCGCAGCCCGAGGCGCGTAAGTGGGGAGGGAGGCGGCCGCGCTGGGGCTTCGGGCCCGTGGCCGCGGCGCGGGGCGGCGGCGGGGCTCGCCTGCGGTCCCGGCGTGGTGGCCCGGAGACTGCAGCGCCGTCCTGATTGATTAGTGCAGTGGGGGCTCAGGGCCGGGCCTTCCTGGGCGGGGAGTGGGGGGACCCCGCGTGCCGCGCCTTGACGGGAGCCTTGCGGCAGGAGCCGCTCCGCGTTGGACTGGGCGGCTGCGATTGGGCAGGAATTACTCATTTAAAAGGAATTTGACACTCAGTGTAGCCGCGGATTCAGCCTTTCTAGACCTTTAAAAAGAGATGGAGATACCGTTCATGTAATAGTCATCCTTTTAAAGTGAACAATTCAGTGGTTTTTAGTATATTCACAAGGTTGTGCAACCAACACCATTATCTAGTTCCAGAACGTTTTCGTCACCCCGAGAAGCAGCCCCAAACTCATCAGCAGACTCTTCTCATTTACCTCTACCCCCAGCCGCACTGATCTGCTTTTTGTCTCTGCGAATTTGCCAATTCTAGAAATTGCACATGAGCGGAATCCCACGGTGTTTGTCGTGGTGTGTGGCTGATTTCGCTTGGCTGCTTTGGCGCTTCGTCCGTGTCGTGGCGTGTGTCAGCGCTTCATTCCTTTTGATGCCTGAAGAGCAATAGTCCCTTGTTGGGATATACTCCATTTTGTTTCTCCACTAATTGATGGTAGTTTGGGTTGTTCCTACTTTTTGGCTTCATAGACCCTTTAAGGTGTATACTCACAGATAGATTGGATTACATCAGAATGTAAAACTTCCCGTCAAAGACGACTCTAGGAAAATGAAGAGGCGAGCGCTGACCCCTGTCTGACGGAGGACTGATGTCCAGGGCACGTGAGGAACCGCAGGGGTTCCAGGTCTGGGCAGGCTCTGGCCTGCTGCTCCCCCCTGCACCTGTGGCTTCCTCTTCCAGTCCTTTTGCACGAAGAGCAGCACGAGTTTACAGCTGGGTAGTTCTCTCAGCCTATCTCCTGCCAACAGTGTATGAGAATTCTGGTTACTTAACATCCTTGCTGACTTTTGGTGTTGTCAGTCTTTATTTTTAGCCATTCTGGTGGGTGTAAAGTAGTATGTCATTACGGTTTTAATTTTAGTCCTTGATGACTCATGATGTTGAGCTTTCCTGTGCTTATTGACATTTTCGTATCTTTGTGAAGTGCCTGACCAACTCTTTTGCCCATTTTAAATTGGCTTGTCCATTTTAAATTGGGTTGTCTTTTTATTTTTTTAAAGATTTTATTTTTCCTTTTTCTTCCCAAAGTCCCCTGGTACATATTTGTGTATTTTTAGTTGTGGGTCCTTCTAGTTGTGGCATGTGGGATGCTGCTTCAGCATGGCCTGATGAGCAGTGCCCTGTCTCCGCGCCCAGGATCCAAACCGGAGAAACCCCGGGCCGCTGAGGTGGAGCTCAGGAACTCAACCACTCGGCCACGGGGCCGGCCTGGGGTTGCCTTTTTATTACTGAGTTGTATATATATCCTTTTTATATCCTGGATATCAGTGCTTTGTGGTTGCCTGTTCATTTTCTAAGAGTTGTTTTTGATAAGCAAAGTTTTACATTTTGATGTTGTCATATTTATCATTTTTTTCTTTTATAGTTATTGCTTTCTGAGTCCTGTCTAAGAAATCTCAGCCACCTTCAGTTTGTGAAAATACACTTCTGTATTTTCTTCTAGAAATGTTATAGTTTTAGGTTTTATGTTTAGGCCTATGATCCATCTCTAGTTTTTGCGAATGGTGTGAAATTTATTTTGTGAAAAACATTAAATTCTTTTCCCACATAGATATCTAGTTGTTCCATCATCATTTGTTGAGAATACCACTGTGTTTGATAGCATTGAAATTCAGATGTCTATATAAATGGCAGTTGATTTCTGGACTCTCCTCTGTTCCATTGATCAGTCCTTATGTCAGTAACACACTGTTTTAGATATTATAGCTTTATAGTATGTCTTGAAGTCACATAGTGTAGGCCAACAACTTTGTAGTTGTTTTTCAGATTTGATTTGGATAGTTTAGATCCTTTGCATTTTCTGTATAAATGCTAGAATCATCTTATCAATTTCTACAAAAAAGTTTGGTAGGATTGTGATTGGGATGGCATTGAATCTTTAGATCGATTTGGGAAGAATTAACATCTTAACAGTATCAACTCCTCAAATGGATGAACATGTGGGTCTCCCTTTTTATTTAGATCTTCTTTAATTTCTTTTGGTACTGTTTTGTAGTTTTCAGTGCAGGGGTCTTACACATCTTTTGTTAAATTTACTCCTAAGTATGTTTTTTTAAACTCTATTATAAGCTGGAGTCATCATTTGCATTGTTACTCTGTATATAATGTGCCGTTTTTCTCTGACTGCTTTCAAGATATTCTCTTGATTTTTGGTTTTAGAAGTTGGCCTATGGTGTGTCTTGGTGTAATTTTCTTTGTATTTATCCTGCTTTGGGGTTTGCTGAGCTTCTTACATTTGTAAATTCTGCCTGTCACCCAGTTAGGAAATTTCACGCCATTATATTTTTAAATATTGTTTTCCCATTCTCCTTAACCTCTTCTTTTGGAACTTCAATTACATGTGTGTTAACCATTTTGATATTATCTCGCAGGACCCTGAGGCACTTTCCTTATTTTCAGTCTTTTTTTCCTCTTCTTCAGGTTGTATACATTCTGTTGAGCTGCCTTCAGGTTCCCAGACTCTTCTTTATCTCTAATTTTGCATTTTGTGAACAGGATTGGCAGTCGGGATGATTTTCGAGATTCCTAGTTCAAGAGTAGCTCCTATTTTGTAAGGGCAGTGAGTATGGTTGCTTTATTAGAAGGCTTTTTAAGAGAGATGGTCGTATGTCCCTTTTACATTTTCTCGTCTTACAGGATCCTAAATTTCCACTCTTTTGCCCCTCACAGAACAGTTTCAAAGGGCGTGTCTCATTCTTTATCACCCTCTTCTCCCCAGAACATTGACTTTCCAAGGCCGTCTCACTGAGTTCTGTGCACACTTGTCTCTCTCTTCCTGCGCCGCCCTGACCTGCCGGAGCTCTTTGTCATGGTCTTCATACTTAGCATGGGTGTTCTCTTTCCAGGCGTGATTTTACTTCTATCTTAGACTCTCCACCCTCCTCTTCTCTCTTCTATGCATTTCCCTTCCCATCTAGGTCCCACCTTCCTCTCCTTAAAAAGTTGGGATGAGAATTCAAAAAATATCTCCACCAGAAATTGATGTTTATTTTTTCGACTTCCAGGTAATTTGAAGCTGTAATGTGCTCAGTCTTCTCCTTATGTTAGAAGATGTGGGATAGCCGTGGTTTTGTTGGTCCTTCTCGGTGGCCTGGATAGATTTTGGAGGACGTTTTGGGATATTTGGATTTATGTACCTGCCGTAATGTTGGCTATTTTATTTTATTTTATTTTTATTATTATTATTGTTTTGGTGAGGAAGATTGGCACTGAGCTAACATCTGTTGCCGATTTTCCTCATTTTTTTCCCTCCCCAAAGTCCCTGTACATAGTTGTGTATCCTAGTTGTAAGTCATTCTAGTTCTTCTATGTGGGATGCCGCCGCAAGCTGGCCTGAGGAGTGGTGTGTAGGTCGGCACCCAGGATCCGAACTGGTGAACCCAGGGCTGCCGAAGCGGAGCACATGAACTTAACCACTCAACCAAGGCACCGGCCCTCTAACATTATATTTTGAAAAATTTGGAGCTTTCAGAAAAGTTACATAATGAATGCCTGCATATCCTTCACCTAGATTCATAAATTTGTTACTTTGCTTTATCTCTTCCCCTCCCTCTCTTTACACACACACTTTCTTGGTTGAATGATTTGAGTAAGTTGCAGAAAACAAGACAGTTTATTCTAATACTTCATATATATCTCCTGATAACAAGATCATTTTCCTGTATAGCCATAACATAATTATCACACTTAATAAGTTTAACGACAATACAATACCATCATCTAATATGCTCTCCATCATCAGATTTCCTCACTGTCCCAAGAATGTCCTTTATAGCTTTTTTTTTCTGATCTCAAATCCTATCAGGGATCACAAAGTGCATTTTAGTTGTCATGTCTCTTTAGCTTGCTTTAATCTAGAAGAGTTCACTAGCCTTTTTGTTTTCCTTTGTTTTATTTTTTGAGACGTTGGCATTTTTGAAGAGTCCAGGCCTTGTAGAGTTGAACCTGTCTGCTTATCTCCTCGTGGTTAGAGTTATGCTTAGATTGGTAGAAATGCTACCTAAGTGATGCTGTGACTTCCGTGCATCCATCAGGAAGCACGTGATGTGAGCATTATTGGTAATGTTGTGTTTGATTACCTGCCAGATTTCTCCATTGTAAAGGTCTCTTTTGTTCCCTCCCTTTTTCCTCTAAGTGCAAGTGGCTTGTTTGGGAGATGACACCAGGACATACTGGTAGAGGAGAGAAGTGCAAGGGGAAAAATAAGGCAGTCAACAAGGGTGCGTTGTCCAGCGTGTTACTACGTGGGCAAGCAGACCTGACCTCACTGGCCAACTCCAGAGCCAGCGCACAACTCCCGGCTCAGCGTCATCTCACAGAGGGCTAAGAAATCCGGGCCTTTACACACCAGCTCCTGTCATCACTGTTTGAGGACTGCTCCAGGGGCATCTGTTCTCTGGCACCTCCAGCTTCAATGGGCCCTGGATGCCAAAGCAAGCCGTCAGGGAGAGATGCAGACGTTGGCATTTGGGAGTTAGGCCAGGGTGCACTGTTGTGGTAGGAGCTGAGGGATGATTAGCTGAGCATCCACTAGGTGCCCCAGAACCTAGAGCTGGAGGCAAAGGCTCATGTGCTGTTACCTTTTTAGGAAATGCAATTCCAGGAAGCAGAAGCAAGGGAAAAGGGGATTGAGGAGAGATGGAAGACTAAGTCAGTTCACGGGTATGTTTTCTAGCTGGCCACCCCTTGGTAACAAGTACGACTTGCTTGCTTA